TCTTTGAGCCTTTGGCTCAGAAGAGCTAAAAATCTGTGTTTTCTAGATTTTTTTTCTGTTCAATTTATACACTATCTAACAGAAGGGAAGAATTGATGACTATCTTTTTTACTTCCTGGAAAAAAATAAAGATGTATTGCTATAACTTACCTCATCCTTGGTGGCCACGTTATTCTGTAAAAAGAAAATAAATCTGATAAGTTTTCTTTATCTATAAAACTAAAATCATCATAACTTTACAATTAATTACAATCAACCTTACAATTAATTTATTTATCTTTCCAATTCTATTTCATTTTATTAAAAATTATCTGAAAGAAACTTATAACAATTTTTAAAAATTTGAAAATGCATTGCATTTTGTGAGATGCAGGCTAAATTTAACAACCAGATACACTGCCAGTTCTTTTATGTTAGAAGTCTAGCTCAGTATTGTGAATTACTAGAAATAAGATCTGGAGTTGGAATAAAACTGCTGACCATTCCTATGCTTATGGTCAGGAACTGCCTCCGTCATCCCTTGGATAACAATATATTCATTATACAAGACAATTATCTTATGGGTCCCCAAAGGTCTCACAAAGTCAACCCTGGAAGCCAGGAAATCCAATTTCTTGTCACTTGTTCCGACACTATGGGGCTAATTTCATGAAATGATCACTTAAGACGGGCGTTCAGTATTATTGTATGTCTTACACTTAAGATTCTGGCAATAAATTTCACCTAGTTTCTCTTGGACACGAGTTTGTTTAGACAACACTCAGATGGCACGAGGGAAAACAAACCTTTACATGATAATTGCTCAGTTTTTTGGGAATCCATCATTTGCTCAATATTGCCAACAGCAGGAAAACTTGTCTGCTTCATGTTTTTAATTCTCAATTTGAATTCTTCAACAAGTTTTTCACCCTCCTTTGCAATTTTGGAGATTATAAACATCATCGTATGGATTTTTTTATGTCAGCTTCACAAAAAAAATCAGGTTATCAATTCTAAAGCCAAGGTTTTCTTAATGAACTTCTCACTTGTCAAAGTAACATATGCGAGTCAGAACAATACATTTATTTACAGTATCTGTAAAGACATCAGCCACATTTCATTTTCAATCGTCTTTGATGTGACAAAAATAAACCCAAACAGAAGGAAGAAAGGAAAATAAACCTTAATATTTTAATGCAACCTTAGACTAAGCCTATTCAGCAATATAACTATTAATTTTAATTATCCCAGAATAATTGACACATACAGCCTATGAGCAAAGGAATCTAGCAATAAAAATAAAATAAAGAAAAAGAAAAAAGGCATTTCATTTTTCTTTGTCATTTCAATTCCTATTTATTTAAATACATTCATAGCATTTAAAATATTATTAAACTGAAAAATATCAATATTTTTTTTAACTGTTTCATAAAAATTGAACAACAAGGAATCAACACAAGATAGTTTAAATATTAATTTTCTGTGAAATTTATAAGGAATTTGCCTCACCCATCTCACAAATGAAACAAGAGGCCCATGGGCCACATCGCTCACCTGAGAAGCTTTGACCATTCTGTTCTTTACCAGATTTCCCCCTTGTAATACATATTGTTACCCTACCCTACCCCACTGATCATAATTTAGACAATTTGAAATCTACACTACCCCAGAATGCTTTCACATAAGTTTCAGCTTTTCTGGCCCAGTGGTTCTTGAGAAGAAGATTTTTAAAGATTTTTCCTATATATTTCTATGTAAAAATTTGATTCCCCATTGTGGCCCCGCCCAACCCCTGGGGGTCATGATTTGAACAATTTAGAATCTACACTACCCCAGGAGGATGCTTCCACATAAGTTTCAGCTTTTCTGGCCCAGTGGTTCTTGAGAAGAAGATTTTCAAAGATTTTTCCTATATATTTCTATGTAAAAATTTGATTCCCCATTGTGGCCCCGCCCAACCCCTGGGGGTCATGATTTGAACAATTTAGAATCTACACTACCCCAGGAGGATACTTCCACATAAGTTTCAGCTTTTCTGGCCCAGTGGTTCTTGAGAAGAAGATTTTCAAAGATTTTTCCTATATATTTCTATGTAAAACTCTGATTCCCCATTGTGGCCCCGCCCTACCCCTGAGGGTCATGATTTGAACAATTTAGAATCTACACTACCCCAGGGTGCTTCCACATAAGTTTCAGCTTTTCTGGTCCAGTGGTTCTTGAGAAGAAGATTTAAAGATTTTTCCTATATATTTCTATATAAAACTTTGATTCCCCATTGTGGCCCCGCCCAACCCCTGGGGGTCATGATTTGAACAATTTAGAATCTACACTACCCCAGGATGCTTCCACATAAGTTTCAGCTTTTCTGGCCCAGTGGTTCTTGAGAAGAATATTATCAAAGATTTTTCCTATATATTTCTATGTAAAACTTTGATTCCCCATTGTGGCCCCGCCCAACCCCTGGGGGTCATGATTTGAACAATTTAGAATCTACACTACCCCAGGATGCTTCCACATAAGTTTCAGCTTTTCTGGCCCAGTGGTTCTTGAGGAGAAGATTTTTAAAGATTTTTCTTATATATTTCTATATAACACTTTGATTCCCCATTGTGGCCCCGCCCAACCCCTGGGGGTCATGATTTGAACAATTTAGAATCTACACTACCCCAGGATGCTTCCACATAAGTTTCAGCTTTTCTGGTCTAGTGGTTCTTGAGAAGAAGATTTTTTAATGACCCAACCCTATTTTTATCTTTTCTTGATTATCTCCCATTGTGAGGGGACTTGGCCCTTCATTTTAACAATTTAAATTCCCCTTCACCCAAGGATGCTTTGTACCCAGTTTGGTCAAAATTGGTGCAGTGGTTCTTGAGAAGAAGTCAAAAATGTGAAAAGTTTACAGACAGACGGACGGACAGACGGACGGACGACGGACAAAATATGATCAGAAAAGCTCACTTGAGCCTTCGGCTCAGGTGAGCTAAAAAAATATTCAAAATTTCATAACAAGGGAAAAAAATCAAAAATATATGACGCATTTCATATATACACTTAACAAACATTTTATATACCGGTACACTAGCTTGTGTCTGAATTATATAAACTATAGTCAAAACTTTTTATCTCAGACATAATGAGACCAATAATAAATCCTTGACAAATCCGAGTTTCCTCAAATAATGGGTTTTTTTAATTTAAAGATTGGGATTGGTGGTTGGGACTTCCAATTCACTTTGACATTTCCATGGTAATCTACATATTGAAATATAAGTGTTACAGATACTGAAATTTAACTTTACTTATCTTGTTTATATATAATTACACAAGTTATTCTTTTGAAGGTTTGTAAAAACTTATTTCACATACCATTGGAAAACTTGAAAACTCAAATGTGTCAGTTATATACAGTCAAATCTCATTATATCAAACTTGATGGGATCCAAGATCAGATATGAGGATTCAAAATGGGTACAACATTTGAAGAAAAAAAGGTTTGGACTGGCGAAACACTTTGATATGTTGTTTGAGATATCAGTGATTGAGATACTTAAGTTCAACTGTATTTAAATAGAATTCAAGAAAAGTAAATACTGTGAGAGATTATATCTTATCTACAGGGCCAGATGGATATATTTAGTTTACTGAAACATCAAAACAATGAAACACAGCAGGTTACAAAATTGAAAAACAACTTTGTTTTGGTCAAGAACAGAAAGCTCTGCGACATTGCAAATGTTTCGATATTTTTGTCATATCCAATAAGTGTCAGGGCAGTCGTGAAATCTACTGAGACCTTCCTTGATTCAACTCCCGGAGTGTCCTTAATAATTAAACTGTCTGTCGTGTTATATCCCGGAAGAATTGTTCAATCATGTTTATTCATCAATCATACCCTAGTTAATCCATTTATGTATACCAACATGCAAAAGAAATGTGACATCTTATTTTTAGAGAAAAAAAACAAAACATTGGGTATAATTTTGAATTGTAAAGTTTTACTGTCGATAAACAATTAAGATTCTCGTTTGTTTCCTGACCCAAGACCTAAACCAATTAAATGGAAACATTAAATTGCATGTCTTTCATTTCAAAGCTCAAGGAAAACTCTGGTCATCTTACTTTTTCTGCCAAAAATGACTTTTTTGACCTTGACAGCTTGACCCCTAGAATAAATAGGAATCTTTCTGAATTTGATATGAAATTTAATTTGCAAAAGCTTTCATCCTGCAGCTAGTGTACTTTTTCATTACATATATGAAATTTGTGACCTTGGTCTTTGACCTTTTGACCTTAACATAAACATGGAGTTTTCCTTATTAACAGAATTTATGAAGTTTTATTGTAAAAGCTTGATATTTAGCAATACTATCTGGAAATGAACGTGTTCCAGACAGACCCATTTTTAGTGACCCTAAAGTAGAGGGCACTGATCAATTTGAAACATGACAGAAGTTCTAGTTCTTATGAACATCTTCAGTTATTTTTACCCTAAATGAATAGATTTGAAGCCTGTCATATTTGACATATATATTATATATGTCCAGAAGCCTAATTGGTAATGGTAATCCTATTATCCAATAGATTGCTTTTACCCAAACCAGATTGTTGATGGTATACATGATAATGTTTCCCGTAAGATGAATTGTTTATACTATATATGAGACTCTTATGACAATTTATTCCACCAGGGCCCATTTGTCAAGCTTAATCAATCAGAATCATAATGCTCAAATCTTAATTTATCATTAATAAATAAGGACATGCTCAAGTTTGTTCTCCAGGAAACATGATCAATGTCAGATTGTCACTGTATATAAGGGTCTCCAAAGCAGCTCAGCAGCTCAGACCAGTCAATGGTCAGTGTATAAAGGTACCGACTTCTGTACAGGATCAAAGACTGTCATAGAAACATGTGTCCAATAAAAAGCTAAAACTTAGGACAACATGTATCATCAGTTATTAGAGACAGCACGTCATTAAATTTAACCTTTGTTATAACTGTAATTTCCTATATTTTTCAGAAGAATGACAGAAACACAGGATGAAAACCCTGGAACTAATATCACCATGGCGATGACCCTGACCAACAGCAGTACCCTTGTTCCGTCTGACCAGAGCACAGTCCCACCTCAGACCAGCTCCGATTTAGACACCATTGACATCCTCAATAACTTCGGACTTCCAACAGTGTGTTTGTTTGGAATTGTGGGAAATATCTTAAACCTTACTATTTTAACTCGACGAAAACTTCGGCGCTCATTACGGACGGTAGAACAAGCCGCTAACTTGTGCCTGATAGCTCTAGCTCTCTCCGATTTCTTGTTCTGTTTGTTTGCGTTCCCGACGACGTTTCTACCCAGTGATTACTACACAGAGAAGGGCTTTATTCTGTATTACGGGCAGTACTCTCCTGCCATCATCAATGTCTTCATCCTCACCAGCACATGGCTTACTGTTACTATGGCAACAGAACGATACATTGCGATTTGTCACCCACTGAACCAAACCTTATTGATGACCTTAAGAAAGACAAAGTTAATTATAATTATTGTATATATTTTATCTGCGCTATTTAATGTCCCAGTGCTTTGGAGAAATCAAGTTGTGGAGACTGTGATTAGTAACAACACAGTTGTCTACTCCCTGAAAATCATACCATTAGGACATGACACAATGAAGGATACCATATACCGGGTGGTGTGGGCTATTCTCGGAAACTTTATACCTCTCATTCTATTGGTCGGCTTCAACATCTGTATCTGTCGCAAGATACACCAGTCGTACTTATATCGCAAGAAATTTCACTACGATCAGGCTTCTTCTCAAGATACCAATGTGACGCTAACAACGACTCTTATTGTCATTGTGGTAATGTTTCTAATCCTGGTGGCACCCTCTGAAATCGTCCTCCATATTGCAAGCATGCTTCACACGGAGAATTACAGGTCCATCGAAGCCGTCATGAACTTCATGCAGTCAGTGAATTTTTCAGTGAATTTTATTTTATACTGTATAATTAGTTCGTATTTTCGTAAGACCCTGAGACATATCGTGTGTTGTTATTGGCGGAACCACAGAAGAGATTCCTATAGACTCAGCATGAAAGAAAGCAAGGTTCCACTACAAAATGTTAATGATGGATTGTAAAAAAAAAAAACTGTGATTAATTTTAACCCGAAATCCATCAGTTTAAGGGGGACTTCAGAGCTCAATATCTTGGACAATTTTAGTTCCGATTGGACAGCTCTCAAGTTCTTCATACTTTCAATCAAATACTTCATATTGTTGTAACTTACTGGGCTGAAACCAGGAACAAACTAATGTAACCAAACTTTTTATAATTAAAGACTTTGTAAATTACAGTTCACTCTACAATTAAAATCTTAAATCCTTTAGACTTTTTTTTTTTAATAAAAATATACTCTTAAGGTATAAATAAAATAGTTTCATTTCTATTTTCTAAGTGTTTATACAAAATAAGTGATTAACAAACAATTTCTATTAAAGACAGCTTAATGACACCTTGGTCAATATCTACTCATAATCCCCTCTCTTTAATATCATTAATGGTCAGAAAGGCACTGGAATTTATAACTGCTTATCTTGACTTACAAGATTATTAAATTTTTATAAATAAATTGTAACTGTCTAAATATATAAGCAGTAACCATCCACAGAAAGCAATACAGTAAAACTTGGTTATAACAAAGTTGGGGCCTATGAAATTACTTTGCTATATCCGTAATTTGTTATATCCATCTAAGAAATCTTTAAATTTATTTAAAGAATGACTAATTCTTGGCCAAATTATTCTACATAACCTGGTTTAGGTTAGTTTACGCTTTATAATCCGCGAAGCAGATTATAAAAAAGCATAAATTGACCCAAATCAGATTATGCTTGAATAATTTGGCCAAGAATTAGACTCATTCCTTATAATTTCATTTTAAATTAATTAAACAATTGTTAAATTGGGTTGCTTTTTGTGAGTTCAAATTTGCCGCTCAGTAATACAGCCATAGTAACAGAAGTGATTGGAAGCAAGGGGAGGTAATAACTAATACGTAGACCTAGCAGCCATGATGTTTGTCTCTAAGTAAGACAAGGTAAATGTAAGCCAGATTCAGCATCATCCAGGGAAGCAAGTCAAGTAGTAAGCATAATTAGATGTATCATCCAAGCAAGTTTGGTCAACAAAGGGCTTATAATTACTTAAGAATGAACCTGTTCTAAAAAATTTTCCCAGGTCACTCATCCAAAAATGTAAGTCAGATCCAGCATCTGAAGCAAGCCTGGTAGTGTGCATCCTTAGATGAAACATCCATGCAACTTTGGTCAACAGAGGATTTATAATTACTGAAGAATGAACCTGTTCTAAAAACTTTATCCTCGTCACTCGTACAGAAAAATATAGCTCGATCAGATCCAGCATCCGAAGCAAGCCTGGTAGTGTGCATCCTTAGATGTGTCATCCTTGCAAGTTTGGTCATCATATGGCTCATAGTTACTTGGAAATGAGATTTGCAGACACCAAAAACTTTTACTTGCTCAACAAATTAAACCAAGTCATTCTTCAGCTTAAATTCAGCATTTGAAACCTTGACATTTGGTCTCAGACCAGTACAGCTAAAACAAATTTATTTCATTTTCTATCCATTTAATAAGAAAGTGCTGTGGATGCTTCTAGAGGCATAGATGGAGATAAAACTATAGAAATTAATTGCTTTAGCCTCATGTATGGCAATGTACACTATACTGATGAATTTAAAAGCTTAGGTAAATTAAACCAACACATAGAAAACTCAAGTGAGAAAAATATGGAGATAATGAACAGCATTCAAGATCAAAAGTCCATAAAACAATACAAAATAGGGGCAGAGCAAACACAGACATCCAAAACATCAGAGGTGGGATCCAGTACCACGGAGGAGTGAGCATCCCCTGCCGACCAGTCATACCCCCGTGTGTTCCTTGTCATGATTGGGAATTAACGAAAAAGTGAGCTTTAAATCACAGCAAATATGGTTAAAATACCAACATTCTCCACAAAATAATTTACAAAGAGTAAACATTTTTAATAAATATGTACTGTGTGAAAGTCAGTCAATATATCGGGTCTCAATGGTTCAGTGATTTAATGCTGGCATGGTATTCCACAGGCCCTGGGTTCAAGTCCAGATTGAGACTTTATTTTTTACCTCCTGTGACATTTGGTGTCCAAATCATTCCCTAAACAAAACCGATTCTACCCATGTCAATCACTACCAACACCAAACCAAGCTTTCTTAATGTCAGTCACTAACATCACCAAACCAAGCTTTCTTAATGTCAATCACTAACATCAACAAACAAAGCTTTCTCAATGTCAATCACTAACATCACCAAACCAAGCTTTCTTAACATCACCAAACCATGCTTTCTAAATATCAATCACTAACATCATCAATCCAAGCTTTCTTAACATCACCAAACCATGCTTTCTAAATATCAATCACTAACATCACCAAACCAAGCTTTCTCAATGTCAGTCACTAACATCACCAAACCAGGCTTTCTCGATGTCAATCACTTACATCACCAAACCAAGCTTTCTCAATGTCAATCACTAACAACACCAAACCAAGCTTTCTCAATGTCAATCACTTACATCACCAAACCAAGCTTTCTAAATGTCAATCACTTACATCACCAAACCAAGCTTTCTCAATGTCAATCACTAACATCACCAAACCAAGCTTTCTCTATGTCAATCACTAACATCACCAAACCAAGCTTTCTCTATGTCAATCACTTACATCACCAAACCAAGCTTTCTCTATGTCAATCACTTACATCACCAAACCAAGCTTTCTTAATGTCAATCACTTACATCACCAAACCAAGCTTTCTCAATGTCAATCACTTACATCACCAAACCAAGCTTTCTCTATGTCAATCACTTACATCACCAAACCAAGCTTCCTCTATGTCAATCACTTACATCACCAAACCAAGCTTTCTTAATGTCAATCACTTACATCACCAAACCAAGCTTTCTCTATGTCAATCACTTACATCACCAAACCAAGCTTTCTTAATGTCAATCACTTACATCACCAAACCAAGCTTTCTCAATGTCAATCACTGACATCACCAAACCAAGCTTTCTCTATGTCAATCACTAACATCACCACACCAAGCTTTCTTAATGTCAATCACTGACATCACCAAACCAAGCTTTCTCTATGTCAATCACTAACATCACCAAACCAAGCTTTCTTAATGTCAATCACTAACATCACCAAACCAAGCTTTCTCAATGTCAATCACTTACATCACCAAACCAAGCTTTCTCAATGTCAATCACTTACATCACCAAACCAAGCTTTCTCAATGTCAATAACTAACAACACCAAGACTTTAAACAAATTATCCATTCATAATTATTATGCCTCCTGTCAGTTTGTCTCTATATAACCCATACCCTACTATTCTCGCATAGTGTTCTAATGATTTATATAGCGTAAGCATACTATGTCGAAATAGTGCACGGCTTCCATTTTTGTAGAAAATCCAACAACGCCCATACCGGGGAGCGAACTCACGACCCCGAGATTGTCAGTCCGACGCGCTACCGATTACGCCACAGACGCCGTTATCTATAGGATTGTACTATGATATATATAAACTTAGTTTCAAATATTTTACACTTAAGATTAAAAATAAACAAAATAATTCTTCTGAAATAGTTTCTTGCAACCCCCCTTCCTTCACTCAAATACTTTTCTTTAAAACTATCTGTATATTTTACCTAAAGCATGGAACGTTCAAAATTAAAGAAAAAGATTATGACGTACATGTTGCACAAGGTGACGTCCACTGGATGAAAAGTCTAGTTTCCGCAAAACTGAAACTATGCGGAAACCTTGCTGAAACTTGGCGTTGAAGTTTCCTGTATGGTTTCCGCAATGCGGAAACTATATAATAGTTTCAGCAAGTTTCAGTTGGGTTTCCGTATACTGAAACCATTAGGTTTGTTTCCTAATAGTTTCCGCAAAACGGAAACCAATGTAAAATTTAATGAAACGTTAATTTAACGATACGTTTTAGTTTCAGTAGGTTTCAGTTTCCGGAAACTATTAATTTCGATTCCATATGGTTTCCGCATGCTGAAACAGTACTGAAACTTTTTCTAATTTTTTTTCAAAAGGGTAGAAAAATCAACTCATATGCATATGATCTTTTTACTATTGATTTCGATTCCATATGGTTTCCGCATGCTGAAACCGAACTGAAACTTTTTCTCTATAATTTTTTTTTCAAAAGGGTAGAAAAATCAACTCATATCATCCTTATATTTATTTACACATTTGAAAAAAAAAAATTGGTTTTATTTTTAAATATCTAATAATTCATATTCAGATTTTGTGATGTGCCTGCTCTGTGTAAACTTACACATACCGATATTGATATCAATGATAAGCATATTATACAAGATCCTTGCTTCATATTAAATGTATTTCATATTGTGTCGGAATTCAAAATATTATTTTTAAACAAAATCGATTCCTCGCACAAGGATTTTCTACATTACCCAACTCAATACTCCCCCTCGGGAATTGATTATTTTGAAAACATACATCATTTTCACAAAACTACGATTACGTTTAATGTAAAGTTGTTTAAAAAGAAAATAAGTGTGTCTTCATGGTGCATGAAATACAGATAATTACGAGAGTGAACATAATCTGAGATAGAAAGGTTTGCATTTATATTCTTTATACATGTTTCTATATTAATATTCCTTAATGGATATCATTTCAATAATTTCAATTTGTTAACAATACATATTGACTAGGAAGCCTTTTTTACTATTCATATATATATAGTTCAATAGTTACATGTACTAGTTATTTTTATAATAACATTGATTTAATATCTACATATATGTTTTTTTATTTCCGTCTTCGTGAAAACATTTTATTCGTAAGCCGCGGTTTTACAGCATTTAAAAAATATTACAAGAAAACATGCCCTGAAAATTTGATGTCATGTTTCCCAGGATTTGCAGCATTTTATACACTGAATTGACTACGGATTTTTTCCGTTATTTCCTGATTATGACAATGAGCACACGGCGGGTGTGACCGGTCAGCAGGGGATGCTCACTCCTCCATGGCACCTGATCCCACCTCTGATGTTTCGGAGGTCCGTGTTTGCTCTGCTCTTGTTTTGTATATTTGTTTAATGGACGTTGAGATTGAATACTGTTCGTTATTTCCATATCCTTATGTTAATCTAATTAAAATTAAATCTTCCATTTGTTCGAGGAACTCTTATATGTAAAAAGTCTGCTTTTGTGAAACAATATCCTGGGAGCTAATGGAAAATCTCAAAATTTTAATTAGATTGTATGTTATGTGTAGGCTTTTTTTTTTTAATTGTTTTATTTCATATATCTTGCTTTCGTGATGTTAATTAATGCAGTATCACTGAAAACGCGGTATAGTTTTTAGTAATATGTTCAATTATATTCGTATTGAGATGTATAATGTGCTAAATATGTGATTTAGAACTTAGTTTTTTTAAAAATAAATTTAAAGTAGTCTGTAAGTTGATCAAATTTTCAATTCTTTACGTTGAATCCCACTCGCGGGCACCTGTCCTCACGTACCACAGGTGGGGAGACACGTGTCGCGAAGACACCTGCTACCGTGTTGGTGTATTTTTTGTATATTCTATGTGGATTGAGAGGTTTTTCTACTTTAGAGGAACAATGGACTGTGACCAGGCGTAATATATATACGCAGTACATGGTATACACAACTAGCCTTTTCTAATGACACCAAGGTTTCTGAACATTCAAAATTAAAAATAAATCACACTATATAAAACTTCACCTAAAATCAAACATGTCATATGTATAATGTGTTAATATGTAAAATATTTCATAGAATGTTTCATATTTAGCATAAGAAGTTTTTTTTTTATGTGTTGGTGATTAAAAGAAAATAGACAAACTTCTTAAATATTTACCTACCAATCTAATATAATAAAATTAATCTATTGGTAAGGAGAATATTTGCTATAGCTAGTTCAATAGACTATTTAAAAAATTTCATTATTATTTTACAATTTCTCCACAAAAAAAATCGGCAACCACAAAAAAGAAATCGACAATTAATGGTATTCCTTGTTTGACACCATTGTAAACTTCAAATATTAAAAATATTTAGAGGTCAATGAAACGCAACCTATGAAAACTAAGTCTATTTTATTTAATAATTATAACTTTTTTTTACTATAATTGTTATTATTATTTCTAAGTACATTATATTAAAACAACGTTTTATTTCTAATTTAGAGTCCAAATCAGAAAAGTGTGAGATTATTACAATAATAAGGAAAAGATAAGTCAATCAATAGCAAATAAACAATTATTAAAAGCAATTAATAACCCTGTATTATAAAGGAATAAAGAAGAATTTACATATGACATGTGTACTAAAGGACTATGACCACTTCTATTACATGATATTATTTATATAAATTTGCCTGCAAAATTAAGAGTTTCCGTATCTTCTGTATTGAGTGACCAATATTTTTTTGGTTCATCATCTAAAGCTGAGAAGTATGGAGATTTACCATTAATAAACTGAAATATTTTTTTTTTGGGAGGGGGGGGGGGACATGTTTGACGATTTTATTTATTTATTTATTTTTTACATGACAGTGTTATAAAAAAAGAATGAATTTTACATCTACATAATCGATCTTCTCGAGAAATATTGGTAAATCTCACCACTTCAATTTGTAACCTGTGACAGGAAATAATTCTTAGATAACAAATAGACTTGTACATTCTTGTTGATATTTTCTGAGAAGAAAATTTTCAACAATTGATGAATAATTCTTATAACCCCAATATTTTGCTTTTAAGTTTCACGTATCTGGTTAATATGCAATCAGCATAACTTTGTTGACTTGTATACTATTTTCTTTTCTTTTCTTTTTTTTTTTTTTACACAATAATCGAAGTACATGTGTACATGTGACTTTAAATCATTCTATTTGAAAACATTAGGACAGTCGGAGTCTGTTTCAACAATTACCATAATCATGTAATAAATGTCTAAAATTCGGTTTTTATCCCCTTCGATTCCATGATCAATTTTATGTTATCATTCAAAACTGTTCATTCTATTGCCATATATAAATACAAGGACATTTTCATTTAAAACGTAAAAAAAAAAAAATTGCCAAAAGAGAAACTGAATTTTCCGTAAAGAATTTGAATCACTAGGTGGCGTATCGCGGCAGAATGCTTCTCTCTCATTGGTTAGATTTTCAGAGAAGAAAGAAGGACAAAATGGCGAAGAAAACACCAAGAATTTGCTCAAGAAAAACAACAGAGATGAGAAGATCTTTTGAATCTACACTGAAGAAAGGCACCCCAAACGGCAGATTAGATACAGGTAGTTATTTCTTACAGTTCAGAGCACCTTTATTTTTGTTTTTATCGTCTGAAATCGTAAGAATAATGTTGACCTAAAATGGCGCGTTCCAAAAATTCAAAATGACCATTGTACAGTTGTAATTATTGTGAAAAAGCGCCTTGTAAATCATTCTCAGCTTAGGTTGTTATACATATAATTAACTGCTGTTTAAACGCATGCATGTATTTTGCACCATTGTATTTATCTTTCATGTTTTTCGTATGAATATTAGAATATGCTATTTTATTTTCTGCATCGTCCCGATCTTATAAAATTTACATAATTTAAAAATTACAACGTGTTGTAGTATTCCGGAATTTTAAATGTAGGTTGGTTTTAGAGGATAATATCGTTATGTACTTGTATCCGGTGTTAACTTTTTCATTTGGAAAATCGAAAGATTTGACCCCACGCTTATGTTTTTTCAGAAAAGGTGAGCTTTATTGTTCATTATAGCTGCTGGATGTGTTCAATGTTATTCTCAGAAGTAGTTTCTTGAATCGTACATTTATTTTTTGCTGAGTTGTTTTTATTATTGATGGAAGACTGTGCTGCGCAGCTGAGGAAGGGGTTCAATATATTTTTAACATGTTTAACATACATGCAATCTAGAATCGTAAATATTAGACATGTAAGAGGGCATCATGATGGTAGAATGCCATCGTGTAGTATTGTATCACTGTGAAATGCCAATTTGTACATGTTGTAGTCATGAAAGTAAAATTCCTGAGAACTTGCAGATTTTTGGGCTATGAAAGTGACTTGATAATTTTCATAACGCCGCACATTATTCAAGTTGAAGTATTTTATTTTCATACCATACATAAGGATTTTAAAGCAAATGTCGAAAGTGAATAAACTATTTATTTACAAAGATACATAAGCATCTTTTCTTACAAGGCATAATTATGATGAAGTAAACTTAAAATGATATTTATTTTAAATTAAATTTTAATTTCTTGTGGACACATATGCATGTTTTGATCTATATGAAATAAATAAGACTATTGAAGCAAACTAAAACTTGATTTAGTGTGCATGGATTAATTCTTCATTAGAAATACTTATGTTATTTTTGTACCTTGGGCTTCAAATATTAAATGTGGTGCTGCACCGTGCAGTTTCTAAATATCAGAAATCACTTTTAAATCATATTAACCATAAACATGATTCTCTTGATATCAAGGGAACAGCTATTGTTTACCTGTATATAAATTCTGCATTATGATAGACTGGAGCTTGATGAAATGAGCAATTGGCCATTATCAATTTCTTAAGTTGCATGCATTGATATTATATAGTCATATACTAATATTTGTTTGTTGCTCGTAGAAATTATTATATCCGTTTAGAGAACTTTTTCTTTATGTGGATACATCACCAACACAGTCTCTGCTCTCATCCGAGGGAGCGGTCTCTATGTACTACATTGGATTCAGACCCGTGATGTAAGAATCAGCACCTACTTCCTGACTTCAGGCGTGTCGCTCTAACCATTGGGCCACACTGTGTGACCCATTATGAAAATTTGACATAATACTTTTATATGACTTCTAAATTTTATTGACTTGATAAAATGACTGATACACAAATAAGATTTTTGTAATCTCTCTGTTTATAGCTGTTTACCATTTGCCATATTTCTATCACTAATTAAATCAATTTTCAACAATGGCCACTAAAGAGTCATAGTTCTGTCTTATTATATAAATAGTTATATGCCCTTGATGCAAAATGGAATAAATAAAATAATTTTGAATCAAAGAAGGCCTACATATCTTAAACAAACATAATTATGTTCCCCAAACGAAGTTGGGGAACATATTGTTTTTACTCTGTTTCTTATTAAGGTCTTCCGTCTTCAGCGGAAGACCTTCTTGTTATTCTTAGGTTTCTTTTCCACTATTTTTATTATTATTATTGTTTTTTTTTCTTACCGATTTTGTGCACGCGATTTCTCGGAAACGGCTCGATCGATTTTCATGAAACTTACAGGACTGATAGAACATCAAGCAAACCTGATATATAATTTTTTGTTTTGATGACGTCACTTCCGGTTTTGAGATTTTAGCGATTTAGTGATTTTCAGAGGGTCACTTTGTCCACGAGTTTTCTCAAAAACGGCTTATGATAGAAACTTGAGTTTTTCAGCAATGATAGAGCAATATATGTAGATGTGACATATGCATTTCATTTTGACCGGAAGTGCTGCACGCCGACGCTCGCTATGGTCCGAAAAATGGCATGTCGAGAATTTTAAAATTTCTAACCCTTTTTCTTCGATATCTTTTCACATAAAAATATTTTGTTAAGACATATATAACAAAAGAAGTGTAGAATTACTTGATCTTTCAAACAATATCTCGAAAAAAGGGCTGGCCCCTATTATAAAGGGCTGAGAGGGGCCAAACTTTTTTCCTTTATATCTCAAAAAGTATTTAGAATTTGTAATACGTCAAAGAAGCAAAGTTGTTCAAAATGCTAAGCTGAATCTATCTAGGTCATCAAAATACATCCGGTGACGTCACTTCCGGTCAAACCGGAAGTAGTATGGAAATGCATATTTTTGCCGTTCTTGACATATTTTTGGGTAACACATGTCACTGGAAGCATAAAAACTTAATTTTCCGTCCGTCTACACCACTTCCGGTCAAACCGGAAGTAGCCCAAAATAGCTTATTTTTTATGGTTTTGACGCAAAATGAAATTATAAAGTCAATGGATATTACTTAGCTCTTTGTTTTCTTTTGTTGACATCACTTCCGGTCAAAACAGGACGGAAGACCTACTCGTTGCTTTGCAACGAGCTTTGCTCTAGTTATTATTATTATTATTTTTCTTGTTCTTCCTGGGTACTTTTTTGTCCGGGAATGATCTTGTAAACTGTTCGTCCGAGGTAGGTAAAACCTTTTTAGGGTAAGTAGACATGTTATGCAGATTTGCGGAATCAAGGTCATTTTGCGCGCACGTGCTTGCAAGAGCGCGCACGTGCAACACTTGAAATAACCAATATAATAGATAAAGTGGGAATTTTTCTATTTTTTGATAAAATGCTTTGAAACTCATAATGTAAGGACACATTAGTAGTATAGACAAGATGGCATGGTCAAAATAGCAAGATCTCACGCGCATGCACGTGCGCTTTGCTCTGATTGGCTGAAACTAAAGTCTCAATATCTTTCTTGTTTCTTGTCATAATCTTTTGAAATTTTGAACATGGTCCTACATTATGAAGATCTACAGCATGATATATTAAAATTTTAATAAAAGCATGCGCATGCGCGCGTGCTGTAATCTGATTGGCTAAAACTTTAAATGGCTATATCTCCTTTCTTTTTTGACGAAATGCTTTGAAATTTAAAACATAGTCATGCATTACGATATCCTAAAATATGATATAGAAAATATTCATGAAATCACGCGCATGCACGTGTGCTGCAATCTGATTGGCTGAAACTTCAAATGGCTATAACTCTCTTGTTTTTCAACCAAACAGGATGGGATTTAGAACTTAATAAATATAAGGGACTCCTACAAGAAGGTGTAGTCATTATGCACGTGCTTGCGCGTGCGTGCACGTGAAATGAGTAAAATAAAAAATACACTCGAATGAGTGCATTTTTTAATACTTTTGGATTAAATGCTTTGATATTATTAAAATTTTAGATAGTGTAGACAAGATAATATGGTCGTTACGCACATGAACACGCGTGCAATGCCTATTTTTTTAATATATATTTTGTATTTGTCTTGGAAGACCTTGATTAAGTCTAAATTCCATAAAGTATTTCTTATTTAATAGAGATAACAGGGAATATGGCACCAAAAGGGAGTTGGGGAGCGTTTGGGGAACATCTGTAACGGTCCCCGTTACAATTAGCACTAGTTATTATTATTCTTATTATTATTATTATTATTTTTCTTCCTGGGAAAATCTTTTCCGCGAGTGATCTTGTAAACTACACATCCGACTTAGGTGAAACCTTTTTAGGGTAGGTAGGCATGTTATGTAGATATGCGGAATCAAGGTCATTTTGCGCGCACGTGCTTGCAAGAGCGCGCACGTGCAAAACTTAAAATGACCAATATATAATGGATATAACCGCAACTTTTCTATTTTGTGACGAAATATTTTGAAACTTATAATGTAAGGATATATTAGTAGTATGCACAAGATGACATGGTCAAAATAGCAAGATCGCATGCGCATGCACGTGCGCTTCGCTTTGATTGGCTGAAACTAAAGTCTCAATATCTTTTTTGTTTTTTGATAAAATCATTTGAAATTTCGAACATAGTCATACATTAGGGAGATCTACAGCCTGTAATATAAGATTTATCATGAAAGCATGTGCATGCACATGTGCTTGCAAGAGCTCGCACGTGCAACACGATAAATGTCCAATATAACTGATACAGACATAACTATTTAAATTATTGATGAAATGCTTTGAAATTCATATTATAAGTATATATTAGAAGGAAAGACAAAATGACATGGTCAAAAAAGTAAGATCTCACGCGCATGCACGTGCGCTTCGCTCTGATTGGCTGAAACTAAAGTCTCAATATCTTTTTTGTTTCCTGTCATAATCCTTTGAAATTTTGAACATAGACCTACATTATGAAGATCTACGGCGTGATATATAAAAATTTTCATGAAAGCATGCGCATGCCCGCGTGCTGCAATCTGATTGGCTGAAACTTTAAATGGCTATATCTCCTTTGTTTTTTGACGAAATGCTTTGAAATTTAAAACATTGTCATGCATTAGGATATACTACAATATGATGTAGAAAAAAACCATGAAATCACGCGCATGCACGTGTGCTGCAATCTGATTGGCCTAAACTTGAAATGGCTATAACTCCCTTGTTTGTCAACAAAACACGATGGGATTTAGAAAATAGATAGATATAAGGGACTCCTACAAGAAGGTATGGTCATCATGCACGTGTACGCACGTACGTGCATATGGAACGAGTGAAATGAAAAATACATTTGAAAGAGTGATTTTTCATACTTTTGGACTGAATGCTTTAATATATTGTATATTAAGATATGTAGATAGCGTAGACAAGATGATATGATCATAACGCACATGCATTCACATGCGCACGGGTGCAATGCTAAAATTTGAATATAATCGGTATTCTTCTGAGAAAACGTTGTTAAAGTAAAAAATGCACAGAGTTTGTCTTATTTAATGAAGCTTACAGGGAATATGGCACCAAAGAGGAGTTGGGGAGCGTTTGGGGAACATCTGTAACGGTTCCCGTTACAATTAGCACTAGTTTAGATGTAGTCTTGCTTTTATGAAAAATTGTAACTTATTTAATTTTTCTCACTCTCAGATATAATTCCTTTTCAAGAACTTTTAAATTGTGGTTGTGATAGGACTACCACTTAGAATTAGACCAGAGTGTGTCCATTTTAAAATGATACAATTTTCTATCATTTTTTTCTTTGTCACGTGTCTATTAGAATTTTAACTGAATGTCAGGTCAAGGAAATGGACATGCAAGTGGTTTTTGGGACTTTTCTTAGCTCATGCTAAAAACAAAAACAGTTATTAATGTACGGTACTATACTAACTTGATCTATTTTAATTTCAGATATCCACTGAACAAATCATCTGAAAACTAAGGCTAATAGGAGAGGATGAAGAATACTTCTGTTAAAAGGTATGTTTTAACAGTGGGTAAGAACTTAATAAAATTTATGTAGCTCTATTTTAGGAAATTAAGGACTAAAGCATAAATTTTATGTTTTTATTTTCTATTGTTTTGTTAATCTCACTGTGTAATGTTAATCTCTCTATTTAGTATTTATCATCATGATCATAGTCAGTGTGTTGTGGGGTGGGGGGGGGGGGTTAATGTAAGCTGCTTTCCTCTACTTTTTAAGTTTTATATAATATATTTATACGTTTCAATGAAATAAACAGATGTTAACATTTTCTTAGAAATTCTCATTTTGCGAGCTACCTACTAAAATTGTTTGATTTATTTAAGATAAGTATTATCAACATTTTCAGCTTCTCTGCAACCGCTCAACCAATTTCAACCAATTTTGGTGAAGGGGAACAAAATTTATAAATTTTATCCCCCCCCTCCCCCTGCGGAGGGGGTGGGGCCAAAACCACTAAAATTCATGCAATCTTTGAAAATCCCCTTCTTCTTTTCCCCTCCTGAACATCAAGCAGTCAAACTGTTGGTATGATTGTAATCGGCATTGAGTCCTGTACCATAATTATGAAATTCATGACCCCAGGGTCAGGGATTCTAGTACTAGGGTGGGTCATATAGCTCTTTGGAATTAATCAAACCATTTAAGATGAAATAAAACCTATCAAAACATTTAGTAAATTTTGAAATGTGTGGCCTCAGGGTTAGTGGTTCCTGTGGGGTGGGGTACACAACTGGTGGTTATAAAGTGGAATTGCATTGTATCTTTATTACTCTGACCTACCTTTGGGTATTAAGTAACCAAAGTAAGCATGTTAACTAAGTGTATAATTATGATAAACAAAGGTGTGTCTTTCAAAATTGTGAATTTCATGGCTTTTTGTTTAAATTACGAACAAAATTCAATTGAGTGTAAGTTGTTTGGCCTAGAAAAAAAATATATTTGTTTCCCCTTTCAGGCTGAAAAAATATAGGTAGATAGGTAGGTAATTATTTTTTTTTTGAAAATTTTTTTTTTTGCTTCTTGAATCAAAAAGTGTATAGAAGTAACATTAATGACTAAAGAAATGGTGTTTTCAAGCATTTCTGTGACTTAAAAGAAAGGTAACTCAAACTTCTTTCTGTCTTGAACATGTTGAAAAGCTTGCAAAGTTGGAGACTATAATTCCCTGGGTGAAATCTTGCACTTCATGGGACAAAAGCATTAAAAAAAAATTTAGGGTCGGCACTATATATTAGGGTCGGCCGGGAACAAACATATTTTGTTTCTAGGCTTTACATGATACTCAGGTGACCTATAAGGTCTGTGGGCCTCTAGTTATTATTCAAATATCATGAATCATGGTCTAAGGGTCTAGGTTAGTGGTAAAAAAATATTTTGATGAACAAGTAAAATGAAGAAAAAAATCCTTAATTTACTCTGAAAATCTTATCAGAAACAAATCCATACATACATATTCAGTACATTTAAATAAATTCAAGTTTGTTTATTTTATTATCCCTTGTCAAGTGTTTAAAAGAGGCAACTTTAATAAACTAATGAGATTTTACACTTGGTAAATTTTTAGATTTTATTTTAAATCATTCTGAACAAAAATGCTGAAAATCTGAAATAAATCAAACAAAGGCTTGTGCTAGAACAGTTTTAGGAACTTTCAGTTTGTCAATCTTATTAAAATTAAATGTTAGATCTGCGCACATTGGCTAAAATCTAATGGCATCCTGTAGAGTGTCAAGTCAGACGTTAAATTCTATTAACCAATCAAATACTTGAATGCAAAAATTATTGTATTTAATTTATTGGAATGAATAAGTCTATAGTCTGAGTTGTTCGGTATTTGACATTTGACGTGACCTTCTATGGATGCTGTTAGATGTTGTGTAGCGAGTATGCAAGAGGATCTAACATGTTGTTTTATTTAGATTGGGATTTTGTTAAACTATATTTTTATATATTTTCAATAGGTTGAAGTAACTGACGAGCAGGTCAATCCAACTTGAACTTGAAGTGCAAGTGGGTCTTCAAAAATGTGGACCACCCAAGGACTTTTCTGTTGGTTGATGATGGACTACAAACTGAATATTTAACAAAGAAATCCACTTTGGTGCTTATTGGCTACTATTGATGTGAACTTGTGCATTTATTATACCAAGTACTTCTACATTTCCTTGATGATACTAGACTTGCATATACTGAATTCAGGTTTAGTTGATTGATTGCAGTTCCAAGTTCCTCTCGCAAGATTATATCTCTCACGTATGAGACATCATTAAATGCAGACATTTTCTCTGTCCTCCTGTTGTGACATGAGAGCTCGGACTTAGTTGTAAAAATATTTATGATGCAAGAGAAAATAAATGGCCAAGCCAATGTATGTAAATGTTGATAATAACATTAAATATTCTTTGAAAACTAGTGTGAGTGTGTTTTGTTTTTTCCAATATGAAAATTCAGGGGGAACATGAGTTTTGGTTGAAAAGCTGGGCTAAATTGTATAATTTACAGTACAGTTTCTGTTGCGGAAACCTATGGTACACCATATGTATTACAACCGTATACGCATACTGAAACCTTGCGTAAACCTCAAGTTTCAGCAAGTTTCAGTTGCGGAAACCTATGGTACACCATATGTATTCCAACCGTATACGCATACTGAAACCTTGCGTAAACCTCAAGTTTCAGCAAGTTTCAGTTGCGGAAACCTATGGTACACCATATGTATTCCAACCGTATACGCATACTGAAACCTTGCGTAAACCTCAAGTTTCAGCAAGTTTCAGTTGCGGAAACCTATGGTACACCATATGTATTTCAACCATATACGCATACTGAAACCTTGTGTATACCTCAAGTTTCAGCAAGTTTCAGTTGCGGAAACTATTTGGATTCGTGGACACCTTTGGTTTCCGCACTGCGGAAACTTGATGAAACTTGAAGTTTCCGCACTGAAACTTTGCGGAAACTATTAGTAACCTTAAGTTTCCGCAGAGTTTCAGTAGAGTTTCAGCTATGCGGAAACTGTATTTTTCATCCAGTGGTCATAATAGAGTAGACGAATGTTACAGATGATGAAACATTGGAAATGAAGAAAATATTGCCGTTTTTTATACAGTTACAACAGTCAGCATAATAATAACAATAGTGTTGTGTTTTGCGTGCACTATGCCTAAATAGTAGTCAGGGTTTGACACTCGCCTCCGGCTCGTGCACCATGTGTCAAACCCTGACTACTATTTAGGCATAGTGCACGCAAAACACAACACTATTATATAAATATAAACCAGTTTCAGAGTTCAAAATGTGATTGGGTGTTTAACATCCCAATATCTTCCTTTAGGTTCAGACTGGTCTTCATTGACCACTGACTTGGTCTAGTTACATGAATGAGCAAGCTAATTCTGAGAATCTGCACCCCCCCCCCCCCCCCCAATGTTTAAAGAAAGAAAAGTATCTGCAGTTGTATGAAGTTGGAGGGGGTGCATAGGGACTAATAGTATTTCGTATGAAAACAAAAGTGTTAAAACAGAATTTATGAAATGTGTGTATGCTTGCAATACGATTATAAAGGAAATCAATAATGCAATTAGAAAATACTGGTTGACATCTTTTTTTTTAATTTCTCTTCCTCACCATAATTCTGGGTAAAAAACCTAAGAGAATGCTGATTCAGTTGATGTTCAAAGAGAGGTAAGTCTAAATTCATATAAAACTATTATACAGTATAATTTGTCCAAACTGGCTACCGTTGGTTCCATTGAATTTTGTCGGTTTAGACAGAATCCGGAGTGCAGGAAAAATGCAGGAAAATATTAATTTTAAAATTTCGTTGCTTATTTACAAGTACGTCAAATACATAATATAAAATATGAATAAATGATAATTTAAATCAATCAATATTTTGGAGTCTAGAAATTATAAAATAGTCTCGCATGACTTACTGTATTTTCATTTTTGTTCAAAGAGTTTGAAAGTCGGGGTGAAATGTTACCTAAATCAAAACCTACAGGCACGCATATCATAGGCCTACTATATATCAAGCGGACCGGGTTTCACTAATGTCAAAGAGCTCATTCGATGTATAACCAGTAATGCACAATTATCTACGATTTAAAAATTACTGGACTGAACTTTTAATTTTTATGTAAAAAAAATACGTCTTTCCCACAATGTTATTGTGCCATGTTGAAATGCGTTCGATTTTCGATCCCGATTTATATTTTGATTTGTAAATCGCATACATACATTTTTGTATTGATGTTATAACGTGGTAAAAGGATTTAAAACGTTAAATTTTTTAAAATTGTAATTTAATCACGTAATTTTTTTTTCAAGCGGGCTGTGTTTCAGTGCTGCATTTAACTGAGTTAGTCTCATGGCACTCTGCTAATGTAAACACAGATTAGCACATCCACCACGAAAGGTGTTAAACACCCAATTTTATGTTAACGCCCCCAAAATTTACCTGATCCAAGATCAATAATTTACCGCCTGTCAATCATTAAAAAAACAATAGCTACTGATTTGATTGACAGGCCAGCTACCCGTGCTACCTGATAGTCTGAGTTTGTGTCCTTTGAAAACGATTGCCTGGTCACGCGTCAAACACTTTCATGTAGCCGCCTTGTATACACGGGGGTTAAAAAAAGAATCTTGGTAAAATTTTATTTTAAAAACAATTGAGAGTAGGTAATTAAAACATGGCTTCAAAAAATATCCCAACGGCTATATTGTATTTTAGGCGATGTGTCGTCCAAGATATCTGCTGTAGAATTTAGAGCAGTCCGTGCACAGAAACGCTATTTGTCGATTAAAATTGGAATAAGATAAATAAGAAAAGATATTTAGCACAAACGACACGGATACAACAGATACACAATTCATTTATCCCATGTTTTATCTACGTATATATGAATACAATCTATACCATGTTCCGTTGTCAAGTTCTGAAATTTAAGAAACAGCTAGGAGTTTAGAGATTATAACTTTTTAGTTCGAATTTCCTAACATCTGTCAATACCCAATGTTCGAAATTAAAAAGTGAATATATACAGCCAAAGATCAATTCTTAAAAGTAGAAAAGAAATCTTGCAAACAATAAAAATTTTTTAAACACACGAACATCCGGAAATGGTTAATATTTTCGACACTATTGTTGATCAGAACGTTGGCAATATTCCTATCGCGTTACGGTACATTGTACATGTTTACATGACGGATATGCCTACCTATGAATGGAATATTTTATTTTGATATTTACACAAATTTAATTAAAAATAGATATGTTTACTTTGTAGTTTTACTCTGTGTTCTTTTCTTTAATTTGTCATTTAAAAAAAAATATATATAAAAACGATATTTCTTTATAATTTTTTTCTTCATTAGATATCGCTGAAAGTATTTTATAAATAAATTTTATATTGAAATATTTCAATTATTTCAAGTAGTTTCACTCAAATTTAGACACGAAACACGTAATGTTGACCCTGATTTCCAAACACAGACTTCCTGTGTAATGCAACGTGTATATAGATTTTTGACATCTTGGGTATTGGGGGTCTCCAGGTAAATAACACCACTGTTACTTTGACCACTCCCCCTCCTCAGGTAACTGTACGGTAAAAAAATTGGGTCTTTAATTCTTTGAAGTAACTCAGGCGTGGCCGGATTAGAGGAAATAATTACCGTTAATTATGAGTAGATGGGACCAGTATGACCGTTCGAAATACAGAATAGACGATATCCGGACTACACAGAATTTTTTCTAATGAATTTGTTAAAGAAGTGCATGGGACTAAAGTTTATAGATGGAATGGACAAAAATCCGGAGTACTCAGAGTCCTGATTAGACAAATTTTACTGTACATGAAATTTGGAATTGTTGTCTAATAATTTTTTTAAATCTAATTTTCTATTCCTGACTTAGATTTCTGTATTCATATGCTGGCATTATTAGCCAATTCAAAATATTAATCAAACTTCTCTTAAAATTAATCAATTTTTTTTAACTTTTGAGTACTGTAGAAGTACTTTTTTCTGCATGATATTAATTTACGCTATGTACGTGGTCACAAATTTTCCATGGAAATTTGTCCCATCGAACTTAATGCAAATATAAGGCAAATAAAGAGAGTTTTAAGATATCTGCATAATTTTCTACCAGCAGATTGAACAGAAATAGAGATTCTGCGGAATTATGACCCCATGGAAAAAAAGTATGTCTACAGTATTCTCAATTCATAAATAAATTAACTTACAAAATTTATCAACACAAACGTATTTTTCCCTTCACGACCCTTTACATAAAAGAAAATCTGCCTTTGTTACTTTATTCCATTTGGATTGCACAGATCTTGAAAAATAGTAATTAACTTTTAATATCTTTGTGGCTAATATTTTATAGATCATCACTTTTGATTCAAGTTTTTAACTTTATAAGATCACACATCAAGTCTGAAATCAAATCTATTCACCGAGACATATTAGGCTAATAGGAATCTCTAATCAGTTCACAGTTATAATCCATACAGGGCAGGCAGTTTAATTGTCTTTGAATTCAATTAAAAAGTTGGGAATGCCAGTCTTCAAATATTTTATATTTTATTCTATTTTTTAAAAATGTAAAATAAAGAAGTTAATTCAGCTGAGACTGCTTTGAAATAAAAACAAGAGGCCCAGGGGCCACAGCGCTCACCTGAGCACATCAGGCTTGAATTTACTCCCACCCCCACCCCCCCCCCCCTCCAGGCGTTCATCATTTGAACAAACTAGAATCTACACTACCTGAGGATGATTCCATATAAATATCACTAATCATAGCTTTGAAGTACTTGAACTAAAGATTTTAAAAAGGTTTCTCTATATATTCCTATGTAAAACTTGGGTCGGCCATTTTGGCCCCACCCTAGCCCCGGGGGTCATGATTTGAACAAATTTAAATCTACACTACCTGAGGATGATTCCACATGAGATTCATCTTTCCTGGCCCAGTGGTTCTGGAGAAGAAGATTTTTAAAGATTTTTCCTATATATTCCTATGTAAAACTAGGACAGGCCATTTTGGCCCCACCCTTGCCCGGGGGGTCATGATTTGAACAAACTTGAATCTACACTACCTGAGGATGATTCCACCTGAGTTTCATCTTT